ATTCCACTGCATTGATTTTTATCCTTTTTAAAAATGTCCAGAGCACATCTTGGTTCTCTGTCCAGTTTAGCCACTTCAAACCGCTCTGGCTGATCTCTAGCCAGCTGTAAGATGTAAGTGGCAAATTAGAGGCAGAAACCTCTTCACATTAGCATTGGTTAAAATAATCTGATCTCCGTTATCGGCTCCTGCAGTTGCAACAAGCTGCTCAGTATTCAGGATTAAAAGTGGGCCTTCGGCCCCCGAGCTAACACAATTCTCTTCTTCTGAAGCTCGGCGCTGGCGCACAGCAGGCCTGCCGTACATGTAAATTGCATCTGGAGTGTATTTACCTTTCAGGTCAAAGACGAACATGAAAGGCTTCTGCGGCCCCAGTGGCGGCGACTGTGATGAGGATGGGCTCGCCTCAGCAGCCAGCGCTTTGACCCACATTAGCTCGCTGCTCCAGGCCCGTAGGGAGGCACAGCAGACACGACAGTCTGTACAACTCTATGTCCTACTGAGTCGTTGTAGATGGAGAAAACAACCAGAGGAGTAAATTGCCACGAAAAGATTTTTGAAATTTTGAGATTAATTTTCAAGGAAATATTCGAGCTCAAAAAATCAAGAGTTGGGCAGAAAAAAACATGTAAATCTCTGAGTTGGGAATGTCAAACATTTTCTACAAAAACACAAAAATGATTGAATTTGAAAAGTTGAAAATTTGCTGGTAAAAAAAAAAAATACTAATCTCAGAAATTTTCTAGGAAAAAACCATGGAAATGTCTGTTTCAAAAACCGATAATCTTCAAGTTTTGGAAATTTGTCACAAGTTGTACGTGTTTTACTTTTTCAATTCAGAAATTTCTAAGGTTTTCTTTCTATAACATTTCTGAGATTAATATATATATATATATATATATATATATATATATATATATATATATATATATATATATATAGTCTTATATAGTAATATATATATAGTCTTTTTTCAAGGAGATTTTCAACTTTTGAAGCTAAAAAAAATGTCAACATTTTTTCTACAAAATTTGTGAGATTCCAAATATTTTGAGAATTTTTTGGTGGATATTGACTCCTTTTGTTTAATCTACAATGACACCATACACCATCGCAAGTCTGAGACCCACATCATGGGTCAGACTATATTTACTTGGTTTCTACAAGAAAAGGTTTGTAATCTAAAATGAATTTTTAATAATTCTTTAACAGCCCTTGTCATGGATCTCGGATCACGTCTCTGTTGTGATGATCTGCTCTGAAGTAAAAACCCAAACAGCCAGAAGCCGAGCCATCTTTATTGTTCAGACTCCACTTTGATTTGAACTGTGAGGGAATCAGGAGGGAACATCACTGAGTCAGTCTGACTTTATTTATTCAAGGTGACTCAGCTGGAGGCAGGAGAGAAAACGTTCAGAAAGCGTCTGTATGCATGAGGTTAAAAATACAGAAACTTAGAGAAGAAACGGACGGACGAATGACTGTGTGTCCTTTATGTTGTGAAATGCTGCTGTATTTTAGAGAATATTGTGTAAAGTTAAAATTCTGTGCCATCTGGATAATGCATTAAACATAAATTGTAATAGAATTAAACTAAGACTGTTTTCTTGATTTTTAGAATGCATCTTTTCACTTTTTTGCTTATGATTTAACTCTTGTTTGTGGATTATATTTAAATCCATTCTGCTTCTGTGACAATGAAATGTTTTGTGAAGTGCAGGTATATGTAGTGGTGTGGTGGACACACTTCTGCTAACTGCAGAGCTAATTTTTCTTTTAGCGCTTTAGTTATTTGCTAACTTTGAAAACATTTGGCAAGCTTAGCTTCCCTTAAAACTAATTTACTGGATACATTCTAAGCGCTAATTTACTCGACTGCTTCGTAAACATACAGTTGAATAAAATTTGACATCCATGTTGAATTTTTGTTGTCAACAGTTAAAAAATATTCAAGTAGTTTATCTTCATGCTTTTATTTTGAAGTGGGTGAAGGTTGTTTACACAGCTGTTTTATTTCCTCTCATCATGACATTTGTTTTGTACCCAGAATGCAACACTATAACTGTTGTCTTTAAGAACACGGCTGAATTTAGCTGTTTAGCGTTAGCTTCTGCTAAGCAGGAGTGTTTTAGGGTTAGCACAGCTAACGTTTTAGCTAGTGGTGCCCACAATTTTGTGTATGAGTCTGTTTGCATAAATTCTAACTTGTGTGTTTTAAAGAAAATCTAAAATTAAATTTTTAAATTTCCTTCCCAATTGGGGAAAAAAGAAAAAAAAAAAAAAAAAGAAAATACAAAAATTAACATAATATTTATCACCATGAAGAGTGGCTGCATGCCTCCGACCTGAGCTCTTGGCTCACTCTTCTCTCTCATCTGAACCGTTTGAGTCACATCTTATTGTCTGTGTCTGTTTTGAACCTGCCACCCACTAAGGGCAGAATCGACCTATCATCTTGCCTGACTCACTCTTTCAGACGGTGCCTGCCCGGGATGTGAGCGGTGTATGTGCATCTGCTACGAGGCCACCTGCCGTTATTCATAATGCCTTCTGAGTTTCCTCTCAGAGAAGTTGACAGGAGAACGCTGGCAGTTTTAGTCCCAGAGAGAAGGAAAGCTGTAGAAGCAAAGCTGCAATCAGTGATCTATTTATATCAATTTATTAATGCTGCATTATGTAACTTTTATTAAAATAACTATTGTCTTTTAATTTATCTATGTCTTGATGGTATAAGACAGGTAATCTATGAAAAAATCAAGCCTTCTCCCAGTTCTCCTAGTGCTAACTGCAGAAATACACCACTCATTCAGAAACAACCAATCAGAGCCAGAAGGAGGGTCTTAGTGCTGTCAATCACTCTTGTGCTCATCTCCTCCCACTCGCTCTTTGCTAAGTTACAATTTAACAAAGAGTTAAACTTTGCTAGCTCTTTTTGACGAGCTATGACAACATAACCTGCTACAAATGCTAAGGGTAGTTAGCATAACCTCTCATGACGGAGGATAAACCAGTTTTCCCGTATGGGTACATTGTACATTGTTTCTCAACCACTAGTACATTTAGCAGCGTACAGGAGGATGATTGACAGCGCCAATACTCGCCTCCTGGCTGTTATTGGTTGTTTTGCAGACTGGCAACAGTAGCTCAGTTAGGAAATGGAGGAAATTGATTTTTTTTTTCACAGGTTATCATATTGTCAGACATGGTGACAGTTTGAATAAATACGGGGGGAAAAAACATATTTTTATAAAAGTTACACTCTGCAGCTTTAAGTGTGGAAGTCCAGGCCACTTTTCAAAGTGGAATTATTCATTCTGACTCGGTAAAGGAGGTGATATTTCTTCTCTCAGACTCCCGGCAGCCCAGTCCATCCCTCCACCATTAACCACCTCTAGCTGCCTGCATTCATCCAGTCGATAACAGGATCTCTCCATGTGCGTCCCTCTGTCTCCACTGCAAAAACCGTCCCATCCATCATTTTCTGACCAAACGCATTACACGCAGGGTTCTGCTGAAAAGGCAGATTCTGTTTCAGCATCTCGTCCCGTTCCACTCATTCCCCTCTCCAGGGCGTATCCTGCTCATATCCCAGTGTCCTACTGGTTGCCAGTGCTGCACAGTGGTTTTAAGTTTCAAAGGTCGAAATGAAAAATTTACTCATTAATTTTTCCACAATAGCACTTTCATTACAGGCTGTTTATTAAATCTTTAGCTCTCCAGCCCAAAGCTTATCTCATCTAACCTACTGCAGTCTTTCTGTTTTTTTAGCAAATCACAGCTGACTTGTGTATCCGTTTACCTTTCATCCATTCTCACTTTTCACGTTTAAAATGTTATTTTTATTTTTTGTTTCACAATTGGTTAACATTTTATATTTTTATGGTGTAAACTGCCAGCAGGAATTAGCAAACATTTGGTGGAGCTGCTGAGCTCATTATAGGAGCTACTTCTCAGTGTAATACTGATTAAATGTTATTTAAGGGTTAAGAAAGGAGCCATGTTATGATGACTTCCTAAAGGTGGAATATCAGAAAGAACTGATGTTTTAAAAAGACAGAGGCCCAAAGTCAAGGAATTAAATTACAAAATTTCTTTTAAGTCATATTTGTTTTATCAGGTGTTTTTATAAAAACTGATGCTAACATAGTTATTTGATTATAAAACGACACTCTGAGCCTAGAAACACTTAATGCTGCCACTTTAAACCATACAGTCTCCTCAGGTTATTATACACCTGGAGTTTTCTGTCAATACACAATAAAACAGTTTTGTCTATTTTTATGTATTCATGATGTATGAATATGAAGAATCTGATTTAATTAAGCAAACGGTGTAAATCAAACGTACAGTGTATCGTCTGAAGTATTTGTTCTCCTGCCTTCACACACATATGAATGTGAGCGATGACTCCTTCTTAGTCCATCAGGTTTATTACGACCCAAAGGATTTGTTGTAGCTTCTTCAGATCAAGATGTTGCTTTCTACTCTTGAATCTTGAATTCTGATTTTACAGGTCTGTCAGTGTTCAGGTCTGGATGCTGTGGGGGAACTTCAGCCAAAAAATTAGGTCAATCACAGTCAATTAATTTTTCCACATAGGGCCAGGTTAGTTTAGATACGTTTCTTTTCTTAATAAGCAATATTAAATGTTTAGTAAACTGCATTTTGTATTGTCATAACTTCAAATATGGAAGTGTGACAAAAGAAAAAAATCAGAAAAAAAAGAAAATCAAGAAAAACAAAGTTTCTTCAGTCAGAGGCGTCTTCCAATTCGAGGTAAAACAGACTGCTACAGCAGGATCCTTCCTGTCCACAGACATCAACGTCTACAACAGCTCTTTGAAGAATCTCAAGTTAATAATATTTAATTCCCCTTTGGGATCAATAATTACTTTTGAATTGAATTGAACAGTTTCATTTAATTATCTTACCTGGATCAAAATCCAAATTTATTTGCAAAAGAATCTGAAGATAATTAAAAATAAAAATAAAAATAAAAAATTCAAACAGAAATTTCTTTCATGGTTTTATTCTTGTGTATATCCTAATTTTCAGTTTTGACTTTCTTTTCTAAATGTTTGAAAAGCACCAGGTTAACCTGATTGGACCAGTTTGGTTTCCATCTAGCTTTGTGTGCAAACAGCCATCGCCAGCTGTTTATCATTTTTAAGTGCTCTACTGCATTTTTTTTCCCCTCCTTTTCAGAAAAGTTTCAAACAGCGACTGTGCGTGGGCCCCATCAGCTCTCATTTCTTTTATTCTTTCAGTGAGACTCTGGTTAACGCGCAGTGAAGAAGAGCAACTCTCTGAGGATGTATTACTATTTGAAATGCAGATGCTCATTGGTATTCTCCTCTATCTGTTTTTTTTTTTTTTTTACAGCCTCTAATCTAAAATGACTCCAGTTGTAGAAATGAGCTCCCTGGGCATGCATGCTGATAATTTGCTGACAAAAAAAAAGAAAAAGAAATAATAAAATAAACACCTCAGCAGAGTAGCATTTGAAGTAAAGGCAAATTGTCCCCCCCCACCCCCCACCCCCAACTCTCCACTGCCACCCCAAACCTCAAACTTGGGGCTTATTTATCCCGCCGAACGCAGCTTCATTTCCATATAAATGTATGTGACCTATAGGAGGCTTGTTTGTTGCTCAGATTCAAGGAGAGAAAGCAAACAAAAATCTCATTTCTTAGAAGGATTCTCCGTGGCGGAGTGAGCGGGCGGCCATTACGGTGCCTTGTTAGGTATTCCTTGCTCGTCTCAATATCAGATTTCGCAGGCTGCTGTCTCAGATAATGGTGTGTGTGAATATGTGTGTGTGTGTGTGTGTGTGTGTGTGTGTGCGTGTGTGTGTGTGTGTGTTCCTGCCAAGGCTTTCATATTATTGACTTGTGACAGCCGTCATTGTCTTTCTACTTTACTCCCTCAGGTGCCACCGTGGAGCTTTTTCATGACAGAAAGCCAAAACAGCTCATTTTCTCCAGCAGATGGAGGACACTCTGTTGGTTTGAATGGAACCTGAGTGACGAATGAATGAATGATAAGGTTGTTTTTTTACTTTTAGGACTGCGTGTCTAAAGGTTCGATTTTTTTCTGCATATAGTAAATAGCTACCGTACCGTGAAATGCAGATTTCTTCTGTTTTGCTGAACAACCAGCTCTCTCTGGTGTTCTCTCCCATCTTTTGCTGTCGCCATTTTGCGGACTGACGTAACGCAGCATTTTACCTGGTGCCTCCAATCAACTCAAATCAGAAGTTTCCAGTCCTGACGTCATCATCTGGGCTTTCCTTCATTGTTTAAAGAGGTGGCAATCACTCTGTATGTAAACTTTTGAGTTTGAAGACATGAATAAATGAATATGACATATTATTTTTCTCATTATTGTGGCATTTAGCAAATAGAAATAAATTGGGTTATTCTAACTTACCTAAAACCAGAGAAGTTTGGTCTGATTTAACTTCAGTGAGAAAAAAAAAGGTGAATGTGTTTTCTTATTCGATGAATGTAAACTTCTAGTTACCGCTATATTTTTACAGAACTTCCCATCAAAAAATCAGTCCAGTAAGAAATCTGTTTAATATTATCATATCTCGGTCCAGGAGCGTAAATTTCCTATCAGAAAATCCATTTAAGAGCATCTGGACAATCATCTGGCCTGTAACAGCAGAACAGATGACTGACGTCTCAGCTTGTGAGCGGATTAACGAAACAATCCATCACCAGCAGCCATTTAGCTTCATCCAGTGAAAAACCTTCAGATCAGCCTTCTGCATCGGCCTCAGCCCCCGACGGTCACATCTGTCATGTTGAGTAGCTCATCAAAACGTAATTAAAGATGACAATCTGTCCAGGCTTTGATTGATGCCTCGGGGTTGCAGCTGATTATTATTCTGATTAACGTTAGAATAATCTATTTTGATAGATATGAATAACTGGCATCCAACCATAAAGACAGGAGTTGTACAGGATAATGAGGAAGGATGATGGAATACCTTTGCAGATTCCTTTATTCCATTTTTTTTGTTCTTTTTGCCATTTTCTGAGTTTTCAGTTCTTTTTTTTTTACTTGAGTTTTTCTTCAATCTACAAATATTCAAAAAGATTAAATATCATTTGCACTGATGTGTCTCATATTCATGCAACAAGTTAACAGGAAATAAGTGTACGTGTTGAGATCTGACTAAGAACCCTGTGATTTTGATGATTGGCACTAAGCTTCACAGATCAAAGGGTTTAAAGTTTTTATATCTGCTGGAGCCCCAAAGGGATTGATAGAACATTTTAAAGGAAGGTTCTGTAAATTTATAAAACATCGTCATAGCAATGGGGCACCGTTTGTAAAGTTACACTATCATTTGGCTCACTTAGCCTGTCGTAGGAGAAACACATATTTTCACCATATTAGTCATTCATTTATAAATATCATGGTTTCAAACTACTTACTACCAAACTAATAGCTAGCAAGCTAAAGCTATCTTGCTAAATATTAAGTTAGAAGCTAAATATTTAGTGAACCAACTAAAAATGTAGCTCCAAACTAAGTATTTAGTTTGAAACTAAGTATTTCAAACTTAATAATTAGCTAGAAACTTAATATTTAGCTAGCGAGCTAAATGTTTACCTCCACTTTAAAAATTATTTTGCAAGCTAATAATTTGAAGCTAAATATTTATTTAGCAAGTTAAACATTAAGTTAGCTAAAAAAATTACCTCCAAACTAAGTATCCAAGTAGCAAACTAGATATTTAATTTTGAACTAAATATTTAGCTAATTATTTAAATTGGAGATAAATATGAATATGTAAACTAAATATTTAGGTTTCGAATTAAACATTTAGTTAGAAACTGTGACATTTATAAATGAATGAATGAAATTGTGAAAATATCAATCTGAAAAATGAACTCACTTTTTTTTTCTTTCATGGATGGCTATATAAAACAAATTATCGTTGTTAATATTTGACTGTAATTTTACAAATGGCTGCCCATATATAGCTCCTTTCCCTCTAGTCTACAGATGTCAGATCACACTAATCTGTTTTCCTACAGAAGCTCTGCTTTCTAGCTACCACGGTTAATGATGTAACCAGCTATTCTATTCTATTACCACCAGACATTCTGGTACTACAGATTTCCTTACAACTATTATTTTAGTTTTGCTTCAGCTACCTTGCAGGCGTCCGTCTAGCACCATCATTTAACTGACCTTCTCATTAAAGTGAATCATATTTTCACAGATTCTTATCTTTAATACTCTGTGGCAATAAAAGTCCAGAGCTAAAAAAGGAGCTGAAACAAAAACCAATACTATTCCCACTTACATCACTTCTCTTTATTTCCCAGCAGTCACAGCTGTGGTCATGAGGCTGCTGTGGAAGTCCGTGGACAAGATGAGGTGTTTGAGAAAACGATCCACACTCCCCGTCCTCACCTTCCTGCTCACCGCGCTGCTCTTTTTCAACCTTTACATGAATGATGGTTACGTCCTGGTACGAGTCTCAATTTGGAATCTAGTGTCTAAAACCTCTGCCAGTGTCGTTCCTTGTTGATCTTTTGGGGTTTTTTGTGCTTTAGGAAGGTGAAAAGAGGCAGCTGGGAGAGACTTTGATTCATCCTTCAAGCTCTGACAGATATGTGCACACATTCAAAGATTTGTCCAATTTCTCTGGGAGCATCAATGTGACGTATCGCTACCTTGCCGGGATTCCACTGTCAAGAAAAAGTAAGCAATATGCCAGGCATGCAATTGAAACCAGATATTTACAGAAATCATATAAAACCATTTATAACTTTCTTCAAAGCCAGAGGTTTTAAATATATTTCCTCACTGTTTGGCAGAACTGCCTTTTAATTATTTGTTTGGATCTCCGTTAACAAGCATCTCAAAGTATTTTCCTGGAATTTTGACCCACTGCGTAACTCAGTTGGGTTTTTTCTCCAAATGTGGCAATTATAGAGAAACACTTAGATTAAAGGACATGTCTCCAAAAGTTAAGGCTTATGTTCTTTTTACAATGTACTTTCAAAAAGTTTGTGGAAATATCTGGTTTCAACTAGATATCATCTTGAATATGTTTGTTGCCAACTTGAACATGAACATTTTATTTGTGAGATTATAAAACAGATTTTATTTCAGAGTATCTTACCATCGGGTTGGCATCTGTCAAGAGAAAAAAGGGAAGCTACCTCCTGGAGACAATTAAATCCATCTTTGACCAGTCCAGCTATGAGGAGCTGAAAGAGATTGTGGTTGTGGTCCACCTGGCGGATTTTGACCTGGTCTGGTGTGAGAACGTGGTGCAAGAGATCACCAGGAAGTTCGCTCACCACATCATAGCTGGCCGCCTCCTGGTCATCCAGGCCCCAGAGGAGTTCTACCCTTCTCTGGACGGCTTGAAGAGGAACTACAACGACCCGGAGGACAGAGTCCGTTTCCGCTCCAAGCAGAACGTCGACTACGCTTTCCTCCTGAACTTCTGCACGAACCTGTCACACTTCTACATGATGCTGGAGGACGACGTGCGCTGCTCCCGGAACTTCCTGACGGCGCTGAAGAAGGTGATAACCTCCAGAGAAGGCTCCTACTGGGTGATGATGGAGTTCTCCAAGCTGGGCTACATCGGGAAGCTGTACCACTCCAGAGACCTGCCCCGCCTGGCTCACTTCCTCCTCATGTTCTACCAGGAAATGCCTTGCGACTGGCTCCTCATCCACTTCCGGGGCCTGCTGGCTCAAAAGGACGTGATCCGATTCAAGCCCTCGCTGTTCCAGCACATGGGCTACTACTCGTCCTACAAAGGCGTGGAGAACAAACTGAAGGATGACGACTTCGAGGAAGACTCCATAGACATCCCGGACAACCCCCCGGCCGGCATTTACACCAATATCAACGTCTTTGAGAACTACGACGCCACCAAGGCGTACAGCAGTATAGTTGATGAGTATTTCTGGGGGAAACCTCCCTGCACCGGAGACTTTTTCATCATAATCTTCAACAAATCAACAAAAATTAGCAGAATCAAAATAGTGACAGGGACGGAGGATCGGCAAAACGACATCCTTCACCACGGAGCTCTGGAAGTAGGCCAGAAGTCTGTGGAGACCAAACAGGGAAGACAGTGTACATCCTACATCACATTAGGAGAGTTTAAAGTGGGCAACATTGAGATTAATGATGTGGACCACAAGATTGGCTTTGACATTGAGTGTGTCAGAATAGTTGTCACGGCTAGTCAGAAAGAATGGCTCATCATCAGAACTATCAGCCTCTGGACCACACCGCCTGTCGGTCAGTTAATGTAGGGATGTTGAGGTCTTTCTGTACTTTTTAGTTTGATACAACAAGTTCATTTTGGACTTTTACAGTGCTGTAAATTTAAACCGATCCATATTTTCATGGGTTGCTTAAAGATTTGTATATTTTCATTGTGAAGCATCAACAACAGAACTGCTGTGTACATAAGGGCATTTGTAATACAATGTTCATTTTCTGAGGATCTATTTATAAAAGAATATTTACACATTGCTGGAACTGTGTGGCTTTTTTTAAGTCGTGCTAGTAATTTTAAGTTAGATCATAGATCTTTAAGTTTTCAAAAGTGTAAGACCTTACTTTAAAGAACATAGTTATTTCCCAAAATTAAAGGGTTTTTCAGCGTTTGCTTTGTCCTTTACTGCCATCTGGTGGTACATTACAAAACTCAGAGATAATTTTCAAATCAACATGTTTATATATTATATTATATTATATTATATTATATTATATTATATTATATTATATTATATTTATTATCTCGAAAGAACATGCAAACTCCATGAGAAAAAAACATTCTATCAGCCGGTCTATCAGATATGATCTTAAATTAATAGTCTTTGGTTGCACCATTACACAATGTATAAAGGTTCGAAGTATTGGAATATTTGAATTTGTTTTTATAATGTCATAGAAATACAAATAATAATAATAACTATTATTATTATTATTATTATTATTATTATTATTATTATTATTAAATTCTAATACAATAAAGTTAAGGGGACTAAGAGGAATGAATACGTTTGTGCGGCATTACATGACAACTTCACTAGGGTTGACTTTTAATCATGTTTTTTCTCTCTCTCCCGCAACATTTGTTTCCTGTTGCGGCAGGAAACAAATGAGACCACAACTGCCTGAAACGTCTTTCGACAATTTACTTACAATTCAACGGGTTAAACCACATGAACAAGGAGGTAAATTATGAACAAATATTGAAAACCTTCGAACAGAAATTACCCAATTCACCTGCGGCGAACAACGAAGTGACGGTGATTGCGTCATCAAGCCGCGCCGCTGTGTGTTGTTGTGTTTGTCAAAGCAAGTTCTCAGCGAAGGGAGCAACGGAAGACTCAACTTTTTGGATTAAAAGAGTGGTGAGTTTGAATAACGTAATATTCTCCGTCATAATTTCCAATATGGTGACACCGTTTCTTGTTCGTTGCTAGCATATAGCCGGTTCGCTACGGTTTTGAAGCAGAGCTGCTGCTTATTGCTAGCTGATAGCCTATCAGTAGAACTTCGAATTTGAACCGAGGTTCGGTTCAGTTGAGTTTGGTCCGAAATTAATGTTTTAAAAATGATAATAATTGGAACTGGTTAGCTGGAGCTGAGTTCGCTTTGTAGCTTATTTGGTTTCAAATGGTTCTCAGTTGGCCAGCAATCTGTATACAACGGTCCATTAACATATTGATAGTAATAAAATGTAATTTTTTTAAAACGTAGGCGTTTATTTACAACAGCCGCTTAATAATACATGTGTTAGTAAAGTTTTAGATAAACTATACAGACTTATTTACCACGGGGCTGCATAATATTGGAAAATCTGCCAGCTGAAATATTGCTGAATGTTGCCATTGCATCAAATGTTGGTACATTATCTACATTTCAGTCATTCTTCGCCTTCTCAGCTGTTATTACGATGTTACTGACATGATAGACTTTAGTTTCTGGGCTATACCATCTTATCACCTGCGTCAGGTGTAAGCTCCATCCATTTGAGTAACTCTTCATTCCAACAAAGTCCTTTGTTACTTTGTTACACACTGACATTGTTATGATTGTACAATATTGGTTCATTGTGCAACCCTAATTTGTTGGGTACAGTACTGTCGGTGTTTTCATGTCCTGAATGTTTTTGGACAGCCACACTAAAGGTGTTTGCAACAAACCACACAACTAAGTAATGAGTTACACACACCTATTATCCTCTCGCAACCTCACAGCTGTAAATATTGAAACTATTCAGGATTTCTGGGCTCTTAGTTTTACTAGACATAGAACAAGATATGATTACCACAAATCTGAGTATCCGTTAGTGTTTTGTATATAATTCGGGTTTTCCCCCAGTGTATTATAAGCCTGGTGGGCCACCAGGATTTACTTGTGCCTCCACTAGGCTAAGAATTGCTTATTTATTTAAGTTTTTTTTAACAATGTTTGCATATTGTAGGATGTTATAGTTGGTGTTCAGGTATATCTTCCAATCTTTCAATAATACATAATTATCAAGTGATATTTTCAAATTTCCTGCCAACTTTAAACATTTTTAAATCAAAAACACGACGGGCCGCTGGATGAATGACTGCCCTAGCACCCAACCACCAGGCTTAGCAAGTTTTCTGGGGGAAACCTTGTAATTTGATATAAATATCTATAATATGATCTAAACATTATTTTTCTAAAACTGGAAAGCAATCAGTATTCCAGTATTAGATATTCTTGTATCTCATATATTTCAAAGGTGCTTGTAGCAGTCTGTGTTGCAGCAAATCTGAAGAAGCTTCTGCCTGAAGACAGTCTCATGAAGAAGCTCAGGGTTATTCACGATGTTCTTGATTTTATGAGATTCCTGCTTTGCACCGTCATCTCCAGAGGTTACACAGTCGTCCACACACACACACACTCCTTCAGTCTCACACACTGTGATCGTCATAGAGACGGGTGATTGCTCGGGCCTCCACCTGTGTTTCTGACAAAGCAGATGAGAATTAAAATATAAATAAGCTTGTCGGAATAAGCAATGACTCGATTAGTTGCACAATAAATGAAAATGAGCTCCATCATTTCTGTTCTGATAATTCGTATTTTTTTAAAGGAAATTTTGTTCACTCCATTTTATTTCTGGTGTGAGTTGTAAGCGCTTTTTATTTAATTTTTTTTTAAAATTATCTTTGGTTTTTATGTTTTATTTAAAATATCTTCCAGTTCCTGTGTGGAATGTTCTGCACAAATTTAAAGTTTATTCAGAGGGTGAACTAGCATTATTATGCCATTATCAATAAATGACTTGAAAATGGTCTCAAAACAACAACATTGCAACAATCACCAGGACAATTTATTATAAAAGGTGTTATTGTGACAGACATAAATATAAAAACAGAAAACAAATGCCTCATAAATTGAGTAAATTACATATTCTTAAAGTGCAGAATATTATTCAGTTTTTGTTTTTATGCTCTATAGATTATTATAATTTTAGCCAGCTGATTTTAGCTGATTTATTAGTCGATCTATATTTTGTTCTAACTTGCTAGCAGTCAGCTCCTTAATTGACATGCCACTAGTGACTGGCAGTTGTAGTTTTAAAACCCAGTTGTATACATTTTTCATTTAATTTCATTCAGTATGTATTTTCACAGGACCAAAAATAATAGAAATTCAGCCGTTAGGCTAGAGGTGGTACGTTTTCAGCCTCCCCACTACGACTGTTAATGTTTATCACAAATATTTCAAAACAACAGAATCTGACCTTCCTGTAAGTACAGGAAGTGTGTGGCTGCCGGCTGCAGTGTGAACGCAGCCTTAGAGGACATTTGATCTGTTTTAACAAGTTCGCTTTGCCAGCAGGTGCTGCAGAACTGAATGAAGTGCTGCCCCCTGCTGGACAGTAAAGTGCTGCTGCTGCTTCCAGGATGGGACAGCAAATCTCAGGTCAGATAAACCATCTGCCTGAGAAGCTGGTGAAACATGCTGGACTGGTCCGAGAGAGCGGCTACCTGACCTATGAGGAGTTCCTGGGCAGAGTGGCTGAGCTTAATGACGTGTGAGTCTCAGCACTGGCTCTGTCGTTTCTCTGAACATACTAATAATGCTCTGTGGACGTTAGTCTGCAGACAGGAAGCAAGATTTCGCCACTTTATTTTCAGTTCTTAAAATGTAAAAAAGCTACGAAGCAGATCAATGGGGGGAGGGGGGTCAGTGAGAAAATGACTCAAGATTTTAATGTTTCATTTAGTTTTTCCACTCAGACAAGCATTAACAGCTGAAATGTTAACAAACTAATCAAGGAGGCCTACTCTGATAGTCTGATACAACGGTGTGCATTTCCACCAAAAAAACTCAAATACTGAAATTAATATAAAAGATATTCTAGTTTCAAAAGTCGAAAACTTTTCGTGTCTTCTATAAAATTTCTGATCTCAAAGTTTCTCAAAATGCTCGACACCAGTTCGACCTGGGCCTCGGTGTCGAGTTCTGCAGGCAGACTCCTCTCTAAGAAACAATTCTGTCATTTTCATCCCACGTTTACGTCAGTGACAGCCGACTTTGGTACTTCGGATGAAGTTTGTCGGAAAGCCTTCAGGTTGAATCTGTTTTATTTGTTTACGACGTTTTCTCTCCTCTCAGGACGGCCAAGCTGGCTGCCGGCCAGCAGAAGCACCTTCTGTTTGAAGTCCAGCCCGGTTCTGATGCTTCGGCCTTATGGAAGGTGGCCGTTCGGATCGTCTGCACCAAGGTGACATCCGGTGCTGGTCCACATTCCACTGTGTTTGAATTCAAACTTATTTCACAAAGGATGCCACACCAAACAATGCTACATGCTAAAAACAGAGCAACCGTTGTTTTCTTGCAACAGGCTAATTTTACAAACCCAGTCCTTTGTTGGACCTTTTGATTTTTAAAGAAATTAAAGTGGAAGATTTCCATCACACATGCTCAGTTACTGTGACTATTAACAAAAAGAAAAAGATGAAAATGCATCTTAGAGAAAAACAAATTCTCCACAACTGTTTCATCAGAATACATCAGATCGCAGTAGAACTATGGAAATGGAATATATAGATCATCCAGTAGGACATTGTGCATGTTTTAGGTTTTTTTAACTGTTGTTGATGGGTTTGAGTTTGTTTGTCGTCTCTCAGATAAACAAGGAGAGCGGAGTGGTGGAGGCGTCTCGCATCATGAACCTGTATCAGTTCATCCAGCTGTACCGGGACATCACCAGCCAGGCGGCTGAGGTTCTGTCAGCAGAGGGCGCCGTCAGGGGCTCGTCCGCCCAGCTGCCCTCCACCGACTCCTGCCAGGCCAGCATGTGGATGGGGAGGTCAGTACACAGGAAGAGGCTCTTTTTCAGCAGGGAGCTTTCACAGTTTTAATTAGTAGGGAAAAAAAAGTTTTAAACCATATGTCGTTTCCTTTGAAGTGTTCTAAAGATATAAATAGTTTTGCAAGGCGCTGTAGAGCTGAAGTGGTGTGTTTTATTGAGTGCAGGGTGAAGCAGCTGACCGACCAGGAGGAGTGCTGCATCTGCATGGACGGAAAGGCCGACCTCATCCTGCCCTGCGCTCACAGCTTCTGTCAGAAATGCATCGACAAATGGTGAAGCTTGCTTTGTTTTTTTATTTATCTTTTTCACACGTAAGAACAATAAGATTAAAACAGCAACTGTGAGGCGGTGCACTTTTACAAACTTTTTTTTTTTGTCCTTTAAATCTTTAATACAGAGTCAGAATAAAAGAAGTCCCCAAACGGGTCCCTCAGAAGCCCCACAAATTAATGTAGGTGTGCTAGCTGTGTCAGGGTTTCCCCCAGAAAACCTGGTGGTCGGGGCGCTGGGTCAGTCATTCATTCAGCAGCCTGCCGTGTTTTTGAGTTAAAAAATGTTTAAAGTTGACAGGAAATTATAAATATCACTTGATAATTATGTTATTGGAAGATTAATGCCTGACTATTAATTGACTCTTAAGTAATTCTGACTATTAATTCTTAAAAAAATGCAAACGTTTAAAAAGAAAAAGAAACTAAAATAAATCATCAATGCTTAGCCTGGTGGAGGCACAAGTAAAGCCTGGTAGACCGCCAGGCTTATAATGCACTGGAGCAGCGTGACTGCTGATATAAAGGTATTGTTTATGCCGTATTCATTTATTTTGGCTTCTCGTTGACATCGTGTGACGTTTTCTTCGTTGGCAGGAGCGGCCGCAGCCGGAACTGTCCCATCTGCCGGCTGCAGGTGACGGCTGCCAACGACTCCTGGGTGATGTCCGACTTCCCCTCGGAGGACGAAGTGGTCAGCTACATCCTGAACCTGGCCGATGAGGCGGGCCACCCACACCAGCCTTAACACACTGCGCAGAGTAAGGGAGGCCTAGCCCTTCACCTAATTAAACACACAGTGACACTTTGACTGGGAGAGCTTCATGTTCCACGTAAACAGCAACCAGTCGGGTCTTATTTGTGTTTAAATAGCAGACACCATGTTACTGTTCAAGGCCTCAAATTCCCAGAATGCACTTGGCAGCCTGAGTATTCCTCCCTGTGTTCTGTGTCGTTCCAAACTGGACTGTGCTCCATAACACACACACACACACACACACATATGCAGCTCTGGTGAGAAGTTCACATGTACCCATCATCAGCATGAATCATTTTGGGCTTTTAATGATGAATCTGAACTGGTTCAAATATACATTCAGATACAATTCAGATGAATTCATTTTCAGAAATAGTTTGTGGATCCTAAGGCGAAATTAAAGGTGCAGTTCTATGTAAAATGTACCTTTTTTGAGCATTACATCTTGTCATGTCATCATGTTTTTTTTTTGTTTGTTTTTGTTTTGTTTTGTTTTTTTCATTAAAAATGTAACTGGAGTGTTACCTTGATCCTTCTATGCACATTTGGTTGCCTTGGAGATTCAGTGATATCATTCAGCTGTGCCAAATGCTTGGGTGGACCTAGCCCCGCCTTCGACGACACAGCTCCTCCCCAGAGCTGCAGTTTAAAAGCTTCCGAGCTTCTGCCTCACAGAGCAGCCCTCCACTCAGCTCCTTCAGACTAGCCAGCAGCAATTAGGCAACACCTGGTGGAACTCAGTATCTACTGAGCAACTTCTCAATGAAACGCTGGTAAATAGGAGGAGCCATGTTGGGATGACTTCCTGAGGGCGGAGTTTCAGAAAGAGTGGGAACTTTCTTTTAAGTCTTATTTGATATTTTTGTCAATTTTATAACAACTGAAGGTAATACTGCCTCTCTAAGATTCTTCATAGAGTTGCCGTAGATGTGATGTCTGTGGGCAGAAAGGATCTCCGGCTTTTCAACAATTTTCAGAAAACAGTAAAAACCAAACAAGACTCTCACTGTGCAAGAAATTTCTATTTGTTTTTTATCTGTAATTTGGATAAAACTGTTAAAACACCCATGCAGATCTGAAAAAAAGTTAACTTTACTAGTCTTTAGAGACCTACAGTACTGTAAGGATACTCAATCCAATTAAAAATATTAGTTTATTGATCCTAAAGGGAAAATAAATACTTATATATATTGTATTTTAGGCAATAAAATCTTTATTTTCTTATGTAAAAAATAAATGTAATTATTTATTTGCATTATTTAATGTATTTCTAAAGGCTTAACTAAAATAATCATACATTGCAGCCCTAAATCAACAGAAATATGTTGTATTTTGTTGGCTTTATTCAGCTCCTATATGTTTTTTTTCTTTTGTTTTTCTCGCCAGTCGATCTCCAATCTTTAAAAAGTCTGACCTGCCGATTCCGATTTTGGACAATTTTTTTTCGTCTGAGAAGTTGCTAAATGTCGCGGCGAAGTTGCTAAGCAATGGGAGAAAGACCTAAAAGCCCAAAATGAATGACGTTCATGCTTCCATCAGGTCCTGTTTTCTGTTTTCCTGCTGAGTTGTAATAGTTTGGGCCGAGTTAGCTGAGCTGTAGCGCCACTGAAACCAGAACTGACCGAAACCTGATGTTGCCTTCACTGTCCTCTAAAACAGGTGGTAATATTTGGGAGCATATATGCGAGTTAGAAAGCAATATTGTTCCACTGTGTTGGAATGACTTGGATTAAACCACTTTGATTGCCGAGTCAGGAGGCCCTGTGGCAGATCGTCCTTCTGGAAGCCATTAACTGTTAAGTCGCAAAAAAAAAAAAAAAAAAAAAGAAAAAAATCTTGGTTTTCCCATTTCTTTTCCCCCCGCAAATCAAAATCAGGCACATTCCTGTTTTCTGAACTGCCAAAGAAAAGTGATTTCGTCAAATTTCTTTCCCATTTGCTAAAGCCCTGCATTTTTTCCCCACTCGGTCCCAAATGAGCTCTGGGATGTGAAGCTGTGAGGGACATGATTCAGATTTTCCTTCAAAAAGTGTTTTGGATGAATTGGTTTGAACTTTAATAGAAGGGGTTGGCTAACATGACAGCTTTTCTCACTCGGATAAAATCCTACTTTGCTTTCTAAGATGTTCTTGTTTTTTTCATTGTACTTACGTGTGTACATAGAAAAATATACTCTATATTATTGTATAAAAATAAATGAATTCTCATCTCTATAAATATGTTTGCATGAGTAAATCTGCTGTTGTTTTCTCATGTCTGCTGGTACCAAGTTTCCTTTGAGGCAGAAATTCATTGGGTTCTGTTTGAGTATTTCTGAGTGCTTCCTGCTCTCTGGTTAATTAACTGTGATTTATGTGGAGAACACCCGACCTCAGCTTGACGATTTCAAAAATTAAAACCATACTATGATGGCGTGTCATTGTAGATGGGGTGAAAAATAGGGAGTAAATTAAACTCAGAAACTTTCTCGAGAATGTGAGCAAATTTCTGAGTTTGAAAGTTGAAAGTTTGCTTGAAAAAACTCAGAAATTTTGAGGTTAATCTCAGAAAAGGAGAAAAACTTGGAAATTTCTGAACTCTGAATGTTTCAAAAAAATATTTTAGGGAATTTGCCACTTTTCAAGCTCAGAAATCTCCACATTTGTTTTTTTCTGAAAAATTTCTGAGATTAGTCTCAGCAAATTCAGCAAATGTTTGACTTCAAACTCAGAAATTTGTAAAGTTTTTTTCTACAAAATTTCTGATTGGTGAAAATTTACTCCTTTTTTCCCATCTACAGTGGCCCTAATATCCCACTGTACCAAGTTAAAAGTCTAGTTTTTAATATAGTACTGTCTGTTTCAATACTCACTTTAAGAACACATTAAAAACACCATTCTAAAACATTACTGTATTAAGTATTATTACTTAATACCATAAACCATTCTTTAAACTTTTAAACAATGTTTTATGTTTAAACATTGTCATGAACTGAACATGTATCTCACTTTTTAAAGCTGACTTTTATCATTATTTTCTAGTTTTATTGCTTGCATATTTCCTGATACACGATAGCTCTGATTGTGAAGTATATATATTCAGTCAGATATTTCTATTTCACAAAGATTTTAATGAATTCTGTGTTGATATGAATTCGTAAAAATGTTTTGATGGTGAGGTTTTGATTTGATCACTGAGCTTTTTTTTATGTTCTCTTAAATTAGAAACGTTTTTATATTTCTATTTTATTTTTGTTTTCTGAATGTTGAATAAAGTTGTGATTCAATGCATTTAATAATTTTAGTTTGCACATATCTGTTGGTGGAACTGCTGCACATATCCGACACTGTTGATTTTAGATACAACTGTATTTTAATTTTTTATTTTTTTTTTTTGTATTCCACCTTAAGGTTGTAGCATTAACTGTAATTCCACTAACTGAAGTACTTTTGTTTTTTGCTGGAGGACTTTCAGTCATAATGTTGTATGTTTGGATGTGGATGTAATGAAATCGAAGCCCTGTTAATGTACTATTAATAAAGAAGCTCGATTTTGCACATAAGCACTCAGTCACCTTGCGTATTTACTTACTTAATCATATTCGTTATCTGTGAATAGCTAAAAAGTCTTAAATTCATGTAGGTAAAATTAATGGCCAAAAATAATTTTCCTCAGGCAAAAGTCTTGAGTTGAGCGCAGACATCTTCATTGCGTTCTGTGACTCGAGACAGCTTGCGGCTACCGCTAGCTAGCTACTAATTTACCTTTACTAGCTAGCTAGCATCTTTGTATCTGTAGTGAGTAAGAGCAGATTTATCGCCTGCTGGCAAGCCACTTCTGCCGCCAACAGAAGCGTTGGTGACAGAAGTGGAAACCTGTTTTCTTTAACATCAACGTGTACCGGATTGTCATTTTTCAGACAAACTCGCATATTAAACACTCTCATCTGTTTTACATCATTTATTTAAGTTGTGGAAACACAGAAATTAGACATTTTGTAAAAGAATTAATTTTAACCGTTTTCATACTCTATAAATCCCAAGTCTTTAGTAAAATCCTCGCAACAGCATAAAATCATTATTAATACTTTGATAAAAAGTGACATTTCCCTCAATAAAATTCAGAATCATACAGACAAGTTGCTGTATGATAATTGCACGACTGTACTCAAAAACTAAACAAAAAAAAACCTATCCATATCAAAAGAGGCACATAAACAGAGATATCTGTGCTGGTTTCAATCAAGTCTCCAGACACTACATACTTTCTTATTTTGTTTTTGTTTTTTTTACCTACCCCCAACATTATGAGAAAAAAGTGGAAAAAAATAAAACCCAATAAACTGAATTTGAAAAAAAAAAAAATAAAAAAAAATCTGCCGTCTAGTCGGTGTCCCGTCGTCTGAAGACGCAGCCCAGGCGTTTGGGTCGGACCCGTCCGGTCTACAGCTCGGCTGGGTTCAGAGCGCTCTCCATCTTCACGGCGTCCACCAGGAAGCTGAGTTCATTACGCAGAGTCTCGTGGCGGTACGCCATGCGGATCTGGGCCACGTTGGTCCGCCGGATGTCGTTGCCTTCTGGTCCGTCTTGAAGGTAGTTGGAGCCAAGAAAATGTTTCTTCTCCTGTGGGTTTAAAACATGCAGCCCTTGAGTGAAGGAACATTCATGGTACAGAGTTTTGTTAAGAAGAATCGTGAGTCAGGTCAACGATCTGGACATAAACTAGAGGTTCATATCAATACCGAGAATGTATCGGTATCGGATCGATGCTAGCATGGTAAGATCGATACTTTAGTCTCAGATTCTGCCTTTCTTCTTTTTTAGGAAAACATTTTAAAGCATAAACATATGAAGGTCAAAGGTTTGATGAAATATATTGGTATTGGTATCAGCAGTACTGCTGCTGTATTTACTTGGCATCGGATCGATATCTAAATATTCAGCATCACACAACTCTGACATAAATGACATGAGGTCAAATACTTTACAGTCCAGAACAGAACTTTTTCGATAAAAGTTTAAGATTGTCTGGTTTCTAAAGGGCTTTTAGAAACCAGTAAAGAATCAGACAATAAA